GTGTGTGTGTGTGTGTGTGTGTGTGTGTGTGTGTGTGCGTGCGCGCGAGGTTTGATTAAATGTATCGGACCTGTTGCCAGAGTGAAGCACGCAGAGTGGAGCCACTAGGCACACATAGACCTTGAACTCTGTTGCGCATACACATAACATTCTCGCCTGTTTTTATTATTTATAGCCGTGCTTGAAAGGAAAGTGTGTACAGTTTTATTCGCCTCTATTAGTTACCATGTCTTATGCAGCAGTGTTTGGCCAAGAACAATACCCAGATCTGACTTCCGCCATAATAATTCCCAGATCTCGTCCATTGGGAATTTTTTTACTCTGTCCAAGAATCAGATCCAACTTGAAATCAACAAGATGCCGATGCAATCCCAAAGAATGCGATAAGGCAGCTGCACTGTGTTTCCAAAAATAAAGATCCAAGAATGCTTCGCTCAATAGAAACGAATGGGAATAAAAGGGTGCTACTTCAGAAGGGCATTATTACGAAGGAGATTAAATGCAGAATTCCTACAACTTGTAGGTATCTTTTTATAGCACCATCCACGATACTTTTTGAACAGCCCTCGTAAATATTAAAAGAAAAAAAATACTATATTTATGGGCAAAAGTACTCAATATCAGAGGCAGAGCGTGTTAAAATATAAAAGTGAATACTCCGGTCTGCACCAACCAGCGACGGTCTGTCTCATGATACAACGCTTGAAACAGACTGTTGCCTCTTTACTTACATTATTTAAATTTATTCATTGGTTAGATCCAGTGACTAGACCCAAAGCGTTTTGAGTTCTATACCAAGCAACATCAGTGGTAAACAAAAACTTAGAGAGTTGAGTTAAAGGGAAATAACTGCGACATCTGGAAGAGGCATGTAACGTGGAACTAGAACTATCTACCCCCAGAGGATGAAATAAAGGGTTCGGTTCGAAATTCCAATCACCAACAGCTTAAATATAAGGATCTTATTATTCAAGGAATTGATAGTAAGTTAATGTCTTATTAAGTCCTGTTAGCGAAGTGATTTCCCCAGTAATCACATTAACATTGGTATTGAATTCTTTGCATAAATTGTTTCTGTATGATATAAAGTATAAGCTGCACACACACACACACACACACACACACACACACACAATAATATATATATATATATATATATATATATATATATATATATATATATATATATATATATAAAAAAGAGAGGTGCCGCAAACGTTTTTTGGTTGTAATGTGGATTTATTTAGAAAAAATATTATGCTTTGTTTTACATAATTTTACTACGACACGTGTTTCTGGTCTCAAGACCGTCTTCAGGTAAAAGTGGAGATTTCTACATATTATTAAAAATAATTAATTTTTCTTCATGTTCAATGTGAAATGTTCTCGATATGAGACATTCTCAGTTTGTGTGTTAGCAATCCGAATTTTCTTTCTAGAATTGTCAATGAAGAGTTCTGCGCGAAGGGTCATAAAACAATTGTATATATATTATATATATATATTGAAATTCGATATATATATATATATATATATATATTGAAATTGATATATATATATATATATATATATATATATATATATATATTGAAATTCGATATATATATATATATATATATATATATATATATATATATATATATATTGAAATTGATATATATATATATATATACATACATTGAAATTCGATATATATATATACATATATTAATGGGGGGTGAAAATCGTCTCTCTGAGATTTGGTTAGCAATCCTTTTACTGTTTGATACACGATAAAAAGACTTCAGATGGGAAGGAAAACACATGACAGCTTAACCTGGTCATTATATTGTGTGTGCCGAGAGGAGTGTACTGGCTGATACTCACTGTGATCCGGAGAGGTTTAACTCCGCGATAATAACACACAAGGACTGTCGTTCGGAGTTTTCGTGACAAGTCTTTTGCACCGTTACTTTTTTATCGACAGATCCTAAAAGTATGGATGGTCCGACACAAGCCATCACCACTTGAAACAAATCATTGTGGGTGGTTTTCTGACAACTACATCTAATTAGTTCCACACATATCCGGATACAGCGAAAAACTCTACGAAACATTAACTTCAACTTGTCATTTGGAATGTACGAATTCTCCAGGACAACAACCCAGCACCTGAAAGTAAAACAGCTTTGGTCTCATTGGAGCTAAGGAAGTACAACATTGACATTGCTGCTCTGAGAAGTAAGCATCAGCCGATTACATGAAACTAGAAAGCAAAATAAGACATCTAGCAGTGTTCCTGCTGCACTTGGATACAATACATTCTCCTGTACGGTTTGTGGTCTTTGTGCAATTCTCAAGCCGGGCTCAAAAGTCATGGCTGTCATAGGCATGCCGATAATTACTTCGTGCACGTCGGAACCTCATACGTCGAACTCGACGGGAGAGTCCGTCATATATATATATATATATATATATATATTGAACAATAAAAAAAAATATTAAAAAATTAAAATTTTCAGACACACTGGGTTGTAGATTAATATTCTTTTGTTTTTTTTATTATTATTTCGTTTTGATTCCTCGAATGGTTTCGTCCAAAATGGCCATCATCGGGAGGAGAAATATTTCTGATTGCTGGTAGCAGTAAACTACAAAAATGAATATATATATATATATATATATATATATATGTGTGTGTGTGTGTGTGTGTGTGTGTGTGTGTGTGTGTGTGTGTGTGTGTGTGTGTGTGTGTGTGTGTTTCATTTGATTAATAAACCGGGTTCCGAATATTTTGGTGCAACTTTCATGTTCCTGCACATGGCACATTCAATTTTCGATTTTTAGAAGCAGTTTGCATCAAGCTCCATAGACAGACTTTGCGCAGACAGAAAAGCAACCTTCGTCCTATGTATCCCATGGATGGGTGGTGAGTAATTCTTTTCAAGTTTTATAATCACTAGGGGTTTACTTACACCGATTTCTTTATTTTTAGTAATAAATTTATTTTAGTCGTGATTCCTTAATTAATCCCCGTGTCTACCTTTTTCAGTTTCGACATTTTGATTATTGTCCTTTCAACGAATCTTTTTGAAGAGGCGTTGGATGAAAAAGGTCCCTTTTAAAAAAAAATGCCTTCCGTCATTTTGAAAGCCATATTCAAATACTGTATTACATTTTTCCTTATATATATATATATATATATATATATATATATATATATATATATATATATATATATATATATATATATATATATGTGTGTGTGTGTGTGTATAGTGCGTGTATGCGATGGGTAAATTGACGCCGCTTCATTTTTTTTTTCATTTTGAGCATGCGAGTTGTTTAATTTTGAGTTTGTCAGCTGCACAGTACAGTTGATCACTGTTAGAAAAGGAACACTGTATCGAAATTCATTCATGCTGCACTGCTTGTCATTTGTGCCAGAAGCCCCAATACGAACATTTCAGACTGTTTGGATGACAGTGCAGAGGATTCGAAAAGATTTGGAGGAGTCTAATGGTAAATACGAATGTATGGCACCTCGGAAAACTCATTCTGATTGTTCTGATAAAACAACTCCAATTATTTTTTTTTCATGAGACCCTCAGAATCAACATGGAGGCCTATATCAAGTTCCTTGAGGAGGTAGTGCTGCCTTGGCTGCTGGAAGACCTTATATCTGGCAACAGGGCTCTGCACCATATCACAGAAGCAGGTGGACCCATTCATATCTGTCAGAAAATTTCTGCAACTACCCCCCCCTTACATCTGGGCACCTAACTCCTCAGAATGCACCTAATTGTTTATTCAGTATGGAGTGCAGTTGAGTGACATACCAACAAAACAGCTTGTAACACCAAAGATGAAGTGAAGGCAAGGGATATGGCAGAATCCAGGAGGGTTTTATGAGCTTCCAAAGTTGTCTAGAGGCCGTGGTTGAAGCCAATCTTGATTTTATTTAATAAAATTAATCTTTATTATTTCGAGATATTTTTGTGAAAATATATCTGTTAAAATGAAATGTCAGTGTTGTTTTCATTTTTGCATAATTTCGACAACAATTTATCCATTGCATCCTGTGCGGCCACCTTGAGGGATCATTCATTTATCGTGTTTCGTGATATTTCAAGGTTCGATAATGGAATCTAATATTTTTTTTTTTTTGCATGGAATAAATCTACATTAAAAACTTAAACGTTCGTCAGTTCTTTTTTTAAGTTTGCTTTTTGGCATGATTTTCTTGGTTTTTTTTTATATGTGCTATTTTCTGTTCAGGGCGTATATGTATCGGCATTACTAGTAGCAGTAGCCGTAGTTCAGCGAAAGTTAAATATCAACCTGGCGATAATTTCTGAAGCTATCTTTAAACAACGCGTATGACGAAACATAAGGGAAAAAGTTGTATTGATAGAAATCAAAATTGAATATAATTTTACTCGAAATGTTGCCAAACCGATGAAAGTTTTACAGAATGCTGGATGAGTAAAATTGAATTGTCGAAATGTATAGAAAACAAACGACCCATAACTGTGGGATACAAATGCCTAAATATTATATATCGGTAATGTTTTAATTAAGAATTCAGATACAAAATATATTAGTGATTTGATATTTTAAATTTTATAAAAACAGATCCAGGGCAAATGTCGCAAATATAAAGTCCTTTTGTCGAGGTGTCATTGGTTAACGAATAGAAATATAACAATTCAAATTCCTGAGTCTCTGCAGCGTCTTTTTGCAGACAAATGATAATATTTCTGTACAAAAAATGCATTAACTTTGTCAGAAGCGTATAGTTAAAAACAGTCAGTTGATATGCCTTCTACAACGGCCGAAACGTTGTAACAAATATAGCGACAAAGATGAAGACAATAGTCCGAATAATGTAATAAATCCATTACATAAAATAATTTTTTTATTGTTTAGGTTAGGTTACGTTAAGTGTGGAACATAAATGAATTATCGAGACACGTCGTCGAATATGACGACGATGATGACGATGACGACGATGAAGACGA